TATTATCTTTGTTCTTTTAATTTGGACACTAAGATATCCTATTTCAGGTTGAGATTTACAAGAAAAGTCTTTCCTCATTCTCTTAATGAGCTTGAAAGTGAAAATGACCAAGACAGCTCTTTCCCATCCTGCCCTATGTTTTAATTAAATCTAGTTTCCACTGTGTAAAGGCTCAATAAAAGGGGGTGAATTTTTTTTCTAAAATCCTTTCTGCCACATCATTTTTCTGCTATGAAATATGACATGACTTTGTAGATATAAAGTGAGAATCATCATCTTTGAGAAAATGTGAAATTGAATCACTTGCTTAAGATTAGTCTCTTCTGGTTATATTAGTCAAAACACCTAACAACTCTGGCAATAAAATTGCCTAGACTTAATTTTCAGAGTTCCCATTTTAATGATTGCTAATCATGTTAAACACCTGACATGGAAGTCAATGGCCAAATCTTTAAAACATGCATATAATACTGGGAGATATACTAGTAATGTTTCACAAGAGAATTTAGAATCTGTAAAACATTGCTTTAATTATTCCATGATTGATGATTTTTCAAGTACAGTTTTCAAAAAAGTTTTGATTTTTCTATTTAAAATAAAAAGTTATTGATGTTTTAGCATGTCCTCAGAATAGATTTTTTTTGTAATCTTACTACATCTTCCAGTTCCTCCAAGATATAAATTCAATTGTAGTTCACCCATGCAAATTATTCGCTCTAATAAGTTAACACGTGGTAACTCAAAAAACACAACATCTTTCCTATAAAAGATGTGAATGAAGTGACTGATCTAGCTGCCAGAGATTGCTTATTGTCTGAAGGAATAGGTGATGGGAGATTTTATTAAAACAGAAAACTGGGTATTTTTAACTTAATAGATTAAGGTTTCAGTTTAGATAAAGCTGAAATATCTTGGTATTGGTTCTATTAGTGTGTTCAAACATAAGGCCCAGACAATGTTGAGGGTTTATTTTTCCCCTTAACATCACTATTATATGAATTACTGGATAATGTTCATTAATACAATTAACTTAGCTAAAATCAGGATCTCAAAAATTGTTCTTATTTTCTCCCAGTCTATAATATTTCCATGTTGGGAAAATTGAATTTGTATGAGAAGTTAGATAATTTAATCAATCAGGTATTAAGAATTATTTGCTATCTAAGTGAATTTAAATAATGTACTCTATCTTATTTTTTAACATAAAAGTAGTTTTTATGCTGCCAAGTAAATTTGAATAATGATTAATCACAGCTATTTCTTCTTTTGACTTTTGCTTAATTGGGCCTGACTTTACCCAAATACAAATAAAAAAAGGTTTTCCTAAATTAAGGTAATTCCGAGTGGTAGGATAAACAAACTGTTGCTGTGCTCTTTTTCTGGAAAGTTCATAGTCTCAAACAATATGTAATTTATAAATTGAAAAAATAAACATTTTTGAAAGCTAAGTACTTTAGATCTGAAAATATGAAACAAAGTACTTTAATTCCTTAACTCTCTGTATTTCATTTTTCCTTTCGGATGTCTGTCAATTCCAGATATTTTTTTTTTTTTTTAAAGAGAGAATTTTATATATATATATATTTAATATATATATATATATACATATATTTAATATATATATTAGTTTAATATATATATATTTAATATATATATTAGTTTTATATATATATATTAGTTTTATATATATATTAGTTTTATATATATATATATAATATATATATATATATATATATATATATATATTAGTTTTCAGCGGACACAGCATCTTTATTTGTATGTGGTACTGAGAATCGATCCCAGGCCGCACGCATGCCAGGCGAGCGCGCTACCGCTTGAGCCACATCCCCAGCCCCAGATAGATTTTAATTTAGCTATCCTTACTGCTTTACTTTAAACTGTACCCCCTGGACATGGTGGTGGTCTCCTATAACTCCAATAACTTGGGAAACTGAGGCAGGAGGATCATAAAGTCAAGGCCAGCCTCAGCAATTTAGGCAGACCCTCTCTCAGAAACAGTCTGGGGATGTGTCTTAGTGGTTCAGTACTAAGGGTTTTGTCCCTCCTACCAAAAAGATAAATAAAAATAAGCCACTCATTTTACATAAAAGCAAAATAAGGTGATTTATTTTCATAGAACTATGTTCTAAGAGACTTATATTCTCATTCTGTGCTTTTGACAATGTTATATACCAGTCCAGTAATTCTTAGCTTATTTCATACTTTTTAAGTTTTCTAGAAGTGGTAGTCATGTAATTCATTCCTCGGCAGGGATTTGTCTTTATCGTTCACTGCTCTGTATATATCCCTGTGAAGTAGGACAGTGCCTGGCACATAATAAGCACTTACTGAATGAATGTAAAATATTAGTTTATAAATATACTCATTTAGCAACCATGGTACCCATCATGCTTATTGAAGGGCTTCAAAAGACATCACTAACCCACAGTTTAAGCCACATTGAAGTACATCTAAAATAAGGTCTAGTGATTATACCTTAACTTACCCCGTAAGTGTCCAAAAGTTTCTCAGAAAATCTTAGAATCAGTCCTGATTCTAAGAAAAAGTAATCCTTTCAGGCTATTTTTGAATAGAGGTGAGTCATGGTGACATGGCAGCCATTCCCATTTATTGGAGCTAACTTAAAGGGGTGGTAGGAAGTGACAGATGGTTTTGCTTCAACTACCCCAACACTGTTCTTAGCCCTTCCTTTATTTTAGTCTACCTGATGAAAATTCTCTTCTTAAGCTTGCTTCATAGACTTAGAAATTGGGCTTATAATTCTCAATGGGATCTAGTTCAAGGCTATCTCATGCATTGTTAGTGACTGGTAATTGACCATTAATTTGATGGTAATTACACTAGGTATAAAGTTGTTTACATTCCAGAGGAACTAGCTAATCTCTACTCCCACCCCAGTCTAGACTGAAACAGGGACTGACTAAAACACATCGGATTCAAGCTAAGCCATTTCTTGATGCTATTGAATGCTACTCTTTAGGTTATCTTAGTGTATTATTTATAAACATTTTTTTCCAGTCCTGCCTACAAATATTTTCGGTAGGTATTAGTTTTCTTGCCTACCTCTATAACCAAGGAGAGGACTTACTCTGAAAGGTGAGTAATAGAAGGAGCAAGGTTTGTTTCCTATTTGTAATTGCCAGGTTTTCACATCTGTACAGTTATATATCTCACCTTTTGTAAATAGAATTTACTAGAAAAATGGCATATTTTACTAAATGAGTTGGATTCGTGTCAACATTTTTCTTTTAGCATCCTTTAGGCAGCAAGCAGTTCTCTGAGTTGTTAAATGCCCACATCCTGTTTTCTCAGTGTAATATGTTTAAAATACCCCTTTAAAAAAAAAAAAAAAAACCTTCATGCGTTTCTTGTGTCCAGTTTTTTCCTTGGGAATAGGTGGATGTTTATTTATAGAAATGGAAAACAATTCTTCTGTATGTACTGTACCAATAAATTCATCTTTGTAGACATTTCTGATAATAAATACTAGAAAACAGTATATTAGGGCTACCAGAAGAGTTTTATCAAATACTAAAGTTACTAGGCATGTGAATTAAAAAGCTATTTAAAAAATATTACATTTTCCAGTGTAAAATTAGATATTATACAGAGAAAAACCCAGAGTCAGTGATGACCCATTCTGTGCCTGGCAAATTGTGTCAGGAGGGTCACTGGACATTGCAGTGAAGTTTATGGCGGAGCATGGGAAATAGGGAGGACAGTGGTACATCGTTCTGAGTCATGGGTAAACATTTCTAAACACTTTGGTGAAGGTATAGCTCAGTGGTAGAGTACTTGCTCACACGTGCAAGGTCCTGGTTTCAATCTCCAGTACTCACTCCCCACACCCTCAAAACAAATAATATCTGTCTTATTTTTGAAAACTTTCTGAATTTGTGGGATATTAAATAAATACTTCAAATTTTAAAAAAAAATTTAGTTGTAGATTAACACAATATCTTTTGATTTTTTTTTTTTTTTTAAATGTGGTGCTAAGGATCAAACCCAGTGTCTCTCTTCAAAATCTTTTACCATTAGACATTTGTCCTGGTATAAAGCAAAGTAGAGATTCTTATTTCAGGATTCAGCTCTTCCTCCCTTTTATAAGAATCTCACCTACATTGTATAACTAGTTAGGGTGAAGTTCACTGAATTGGGAACCAATGCTTATACAGGTTCGTCTACCTACTAGATTTATGACCCTGGGCAAAGCAATTTTTCTTAGTTGGTTTCCTTTGTATATGACAGTGTTAATACTTCTCAGGCTTGATGAGGGGATGAAATAAGATTATTGCATATGATCTATAAATAGCCAAGTGTAGTAAATCTAAAAGTACAAATGGCAGTGTGAGAGAATTATTGATTGTAACAGCAATTCCTTAAGCAACTAATTATATTCCTCTAAGTTTATTTTAAGCCACTTGGAATATCTTCTAAAATATTTCTTGCTTCCATAAAATGTATAAGCATTACAATTTTCTGATGACGTGTTACAAATACCAGTATGCATGTGCGTTGGGCCTATTGTGGTTGGCAGGTGCTTACCTCTATATAGTCTACACATAACCTATTTGTATTTATTTTTACAATACCCTGATTAAATTTGGAGGGTGGTGCCTTCACCAAAGGAGAATGTTCTCTCTCCAGAATCCATAAGTTGTATAGAGATACATCTCTCAATACCAAAAGCTGTTTTGTTCCTACATTCTACATAGCAGGTGGCCCAAGAGTTCATAAAGCAAGCCAGGCATCTCAATGCATGCCTACAGTCTCAGCTACCAATGAGGCTGTGTGAAGAGAATCTCGCCAGGAGTTTGAGAACCAGCCTCGGCAATACAGAGAGATCCCATCAGAGTTCATATAATGAAGAAGTTTTCCTAATTGCCAGTCATCTTTGGATTCTGAGTTCAAATAGAGGTAAAACTGCTACCCTCCCCCTAAAATTTACTACTGAAAGACCACAACATATTTTTACAGAATAGTAGTGTAAATAGTTTTATTTGCTTGCGTGGCATGGAAAGACCAGAAAAGTAACATGAATTGCTTTTGTAAAACATTTCTAACATTGCTAAGATGCAGGCCCATTAATAGACACAGAAAAGAACATGCCAACATTATTGTCTATTTGTACATTAATAGACAATTATTTTTTAATATGCATGTCAGCTTTGAGCTTTGGGAAATAGCTGCATTGTGGCAGGTCCAACTATTGGTCTTACATGTCATGGTCAATTTGCTAATTTTCATCAAAATTAAAGTTGACTTAACCCAAAGACAAAATCTTGGCATGTTCTTTTTAAAGTACATGTGGAAATGCTCCAGCAGGTGGCAGTTTAATCTGTAAATAGGTACACTAAAGTGAAATGTGGTAACTGATCCCTAAATTGTCCTTGTAGTTAAATATATATATTAAAAAAAGAACTATAAGTTAAAATAACATTCAGATTGTATAGCATAGGCTGATGCATTTTTAAACAATATTTACAATATTACCCAGAATCTTAGGTGGGAATTAAAGAGAAGTGTAAAAACCATAAAAAACTGCACCAATTTTATAGCAAAATATCTGTACATTTAAAAAGAGATATAACTACACATTATCCAAGGAAAAAGGATCTTCACCAAGGGGTTCACATAAGCACAACATAAAATAAAATCAGTGGTTAAATACTATACAATAAACTTTACAATTAATATACTGATGTAATGTGCCAAGAAGGTAAGCCAGAAGCAGAATGTATATTATGAAAAATACAAATTTTGTTTCGGTCCAGTTTTTGACTTTGGAATGGAACAAGTGCCTTGCGTGAGAGGAAGGAAATAACAATGACTTAGTTGACCATTTAGTCCCATTACTTATTCAAATTTAATACCAATGGTAATACTTTTCAATAACTTAATTTTGATTCCTCATAACTGGGAAATACATGAACAATTTACAAAAGGAAAGAAAAGCCCTGCGATTGTCAGAGGAGAATAAGGCCAGGTTCCTAACTTTACTCTGCTAACAGATAAAATCTTGAATGCTTATTGATAGAGTTAGTAGACTTCTCCCTGACTAGCAAGGCACCAATTTCTATTCTCAGGATTGACCCATAAAAATCCTCAGAAATCCTACTACTGATTACTGAGATGTTAATTTTAGCGTTATTTAATAAATATATTTGCATAATTTAAAAAGCTGCCTCTAGCTTAAGAACACAGTGTTGCAAATAAGTCTTATTCAACATTTTATGTCCTCATCTTGGATTTCAAACCAGTGAACGTCTCTCACAGGGTATATGGCATTCTAGCACAGAAGTGGTAGAATGTGAAACGAGGCAGAGTTGAGTGACTTCTTGTGCCACTATAGTTGGATCTTGTTTGCACTTTATTGGGGCTTATGATAGAAGGACTTTATGTGACTCCTTCTTCCATGTTGCAAGTCCTTAAAAACTCAAAGTTGATGGATGTAGCTGTAACACAAAATTAATTCCTTAAAAGACATCTCAGCAAAGGAAGCCCCAAGCAGATGCATCCATGTTATTTACAACTTATCAGGAAACCAGGGTGGGCCATCGTGGCATAAACACAATGGCAAATAATGAATTTAATATGAAATTTACATTTTGGTTAAAAAACTGAACAACATACCAGTGTAAAAAGATACCTAATCAAATCAAATCCTATTGCTTTGATTAATCTGAGCAGGTACTTCCATTTTTAGGCACTTGTTAACAAGGGTTGAAAAGAGAACCCATCATTTTAAAATTCCTATGTATTTGCTAATCTGAGCCCTTAGGAATTATTTTATCTGTGTTCAAGGCTGCAGCTAAATAGTAGCACATGAAATTTACATGGGCAGTTTCATTCACGCACACCCTCTATTCATGCAGGCAGGTCTTGGGTTCACATCGTTATTTCGGCACCATTAACAGAACGCAAGTTGTGATCATCAAAGCGCCTTCTAACACTTCTCCTCACCGCATCGGCTCTTCGGTATGGCTGGTTTCTAAGATCTGTAAAGAAGAGAGTGCTAATGAAATAAAAGCAACTTTTAATATGCATCTAAGCAACACAAAGGCCAGTTGGCAGCCAATCAAAGCAGCTTGTGTAGAAGACTCAGCTAATGGGCCTTACAAACTCTTTGAGCATTGAACCAAAGACACACATTTGCCTTAAATATTTACAATCAAAATAAGATGTAATACTGGTAGGATTCTGGGACATGAGAGAAAAAACATGGGATATTTTTGTCACTGGCCAGAGTCTAGCGGAAGTCTTACTTTGAAATGTTTCTTCAAATGGTAGCAGTTGTGGCTTGTATTTTTTTCTGGAAGCCTGAATGGCACAATAATTTTAATGAATTTTAAACAGGAGAAGAGAGCATTAGGCCATTACTACAAGTAGTGTTAGATAAAACAGTCTAATAAAATAGACTGTCCTGTCCTATCTTATCCTTGAAATTTTAAGAAGGAAGGAGCCTCAAAGGCCTTAGTTTGCAGACACAGGTTGCCTTGTTTGTATTTCATTAGACTAGCTGAGTTTATTATTTTGTGAATTAGAAATGTAATGCTCAACTAACCATTAAATCTAAATTCAAAATAATACTCCATTCCATCAATATTCTTTCCTGCCACCCAGTATTTTTGTGTTTTATCTGCAGGGAGAAGCTGTTAGGCCCTTCTTCATTTTCCAGTTTGTGTTGCTAGAGCAAAACAATTAGCCTTACATTTAAAAAGAAAGCAAGTATTGAGTGAATCAAATCACTGCATACTGGTTCAAGAAGATACCACTCTAGTGGAATGGACAGAGGAAGTTTATGTAAGTCCTCCTAGTATGAAGGCATGCTTCCAGGAGTAAGGCTGGTAGCTGAGTCAGCTCCTAGCCTCCTCTTGATGAAGTCAAGATAAATGGATAAATAAAGCAGGCTTATTCCTCTTATTTAATTTTAGTATGTATTTTCCTTTTATGAACTTAGTATTGTTGACTTCAGCTAGGAAAAAAGGTTAAATTGGTTTAATTCTGTATTTGTAGAGTTTAACCTTTTTCATGCCTTCACTTACTCAGTAAATTGAAAATGGAGCCTACAAGTCAATTGGCCCACAGAATATTTGCCCCACTTCAATCCCCTTCCCTACTTTTTTTTTTTTTTTTTTTTCAGGAGCCTGGGGGATACTGGTATTTAAACCAGGGTGCTTGACCACTGAGCCACATCTCCCTCCAGTCCTTTTAAGACAGGGCCTCATTAAGTTGCTGAGGCTGGCCTCAAACTTGAGATCCTTCAGTCTCAGCCTCCTGAGTCCAGGATCATAGGCATGTACCATTGTTCCAAAATATATTTATTGGACCCTAAATCAGTAATTAACATATATAAACTAGGGTTTCTTCTGGCTTCTCTTGAAATATAAGAAAATCAGTCAATACAGAGTCCAAATTCCTACATAGTACAAAACTGAAGCTGAGTGGGACCGAGACATCCTCTCAGATTCAACAGTTCTGACCAGGCCTGTTACCTTCCTGGCTCCTAAACTGTTTTGGAATTTGTGATCCTCCCCTATTCCTCTAAATTTAACCAAAGAATAGGCATGCATGCTCTAATCCCCTGAAGCTCCTGTACCCTGGCTCACGATGGTAAATTAGAAGGTCTGAATTCCATGTTAGATCAAGGATATCCAGCTCTGTGGTTCTGGAGTTTGCTGAGAAATTAGTTAAAAATCCTAATCTTTCAAAGGCTGTATATCATATTACCTGGCCAGGACCTGATGTTGACCTCCAGAACAAAATGGAGTTATGTGAATAACTCAAAGGCTAAGAATAGCATAAGGGAAGGACAGCCTAGAACCCAGAGCAAATACAGTGACCAACAAATACCCTTGCCCAAGCCATCACACATAGTAGGCTGGGGGAGAGTCCAACAGAGAGGCTCAGCCTCACATCATTGGAATATGAGATACAAAGACTTCTCCCTGGTCAGATTCTCACCAGTATTACCCTTTGCCACAAATTGAAACCACTGATGTGCATACAGAGAGAGGAGGAAGCTAAGTAAAAAGTGATGCTTGCCAGCTCTGTGTATCCTCCACCACCGGTGTGCTAGAAGAAATCCTTACCCTCGAGTGAACATTTGGAAATTTAGTGATATTATTCTTCTTTAAGGCTAAACAGAAAAAAAAACAAAAACACAAAATGATGGTTAAGTAAAAATGGGATGAAAATGGAAAGCAACTCAACTTAGTGCCTAACATTCCTGGGCATATTAGCCAAAGGATAAGAAAGCAGGAGGCCATTACTACAAGTAGTGTTAGATAAAACAGGGAGACAATCAGTGTGGCTTCCCACCCAGCTCTCTGACCACACAGTTCCAAGCTGCTTTGAAGATTGGCTCCAGAAAGACAGACAGTCCAGCAGCAAAACTGACAGCAAACATAGCCTAAGCAGATGAGTTTCCAGCTGGTTAGTAAGCATTGATGGGTAAGCACACTGCAGAGCAGGCAATGATACAAAGACACATGCATAACAAGTACAATTCATAGAATAGTTATAAATACTGACCCGGTTCCATGTCAAGTAATGGCTATTTTCACACAGTGCACTCTTGTCTATTTTCTAGGCATGGAAAGAAGTCTGTTGCTTTTTTAAGTATCAAAAAATAAGCCCAAAAAGTCACCTGTTGGAAAAATTTGACCTTTTTTTTTTAAATTCTAAATGGCCTTTACTGAAACTAGGGTTTTTGTTTTGGGGGGGTTGTTTTTTTGGTACTGGGGATTAAACCCAGGGATGCTTTACCACTGAGCCATATCTCCAGCCCTTTTTATTTTTTGAGACAGGATCTCACTAAGTTACTGAGGCTCACCTTAAACTTGCTATCCTCCTGCCTCAGCCTCCAGAGACGTTGGGATTACAGATGTGCACCACCACACCTGGCCTGATGAAAAGTATTTGCTATAGTATTTCTACTAATACTACCACTACCCTGACCAAAGAGGCAGGTCCATATATGGCTTCATCACAGATGAAACACCCAGGTTGACATGGAATAGAGCCACCAGTGAAGAGGCAGAAATATGATGGTGAGGAGTGCTTTTCATCTTGTGTTTTCACTTCCCACCTTGCAGCTTTGCTCCAACATCGAATTGCTGATTGCTGAACTTGAGCATGACACTGAATAGAGATGACATGCTCAGGGTTGGGATGTTGTAAGGCTGTGAATCACCAAGATCAGCACATACAGGCTGCTGGGTTGAAAGGGCTCACAATGTGAAGCTCATGGCATGAGTTCCACATACCATGGCCTGGTAAGAGCTACGAAAGGCCCAACTTATAGCCAAGCACAGTTCAGTTTCTTCAGCAAATCATGAGGCAGCATTCAAGCCCTTGTCATTTCTGAGCACTTCCATGCAGTGGGTCATCTTATGATCAAAGCATGTTAAAGAAGTACAAAAAGGGGCCAGTTTTATATATGTGAAACTATTAGTGCACATAAGTGCTCAAATGTTTGGTTTAGTAGTTACTGTTACTACATTTCGTGTTACTATCATTATGTGAAACTTTTAGTGCACAGTAAGTGCTCAAATGTTTGGTTTAGTAGTTACTGTTACTATCATTTTGTGTTCAAAGGTATCAGTCCCAACATAGCATAAGCAATCTACTGATAGTTGAAGAAGTGTTCTGTTTTCTGAAAATGTCTGCAGGCAGTTCTATTAATCGTCACCCATCCAGACCGTAACGGCAACATGGACATGTGTGTGTACTGAAAGTGGCAGTGAGTGGGCAGTAATGACGGGAAGGCAAATCCATGCAGCGAAACAACACAAAATACAACATGATGAAGACAGCAGTACCATGCTGGCACAGAGGTGGCTCCAACAGACACACACAGGGGGACATAGAGGTCAAAAAACCTGTGCAACCTTTCAAGAACATCAGGTGAGAAAGAGTAATAGTTTAGTAATGGTACTCCTCAGTGAGAACAGGTTCGCAGAAAAACCGAGAGCCACGCTTGGCGGTGCGAGCAGTAAAGGGCACAGTCTTCAGCACTGCATTGAAAACGAGCCAAACACAAACAGAAGAGAGTGAGAGCGCGGTCTACTGCATTAGCACACGGTTAGTGCTCTGTTAATCACACCTGGGAGCGGGGTGCAGGAAAGGGCAAAGGCAATATACACCCCAGTTAGCTTATGAAAGTCTGGAAGAGTTAATCTGGGGGCTTGGGGAGGGACAGAAAAAGGAAACTAAGGAGAATAAAAACTGCTCTTTCACCTGCTCTGTAGGTTAATGATTTAGGTAAGGAAAATAAAAAATACACATTCCATTCATTGTATAATGTCAGGTGTCAGGAGGACGGAGGACAGACATACTGATGACAACTGGGCTCCAAGTCCAAGTGTGCAAGGTTGCATGTCTCCCTACCTACACGTTAATGTCACTGCGGCACAGAGACCAAGAGTGCTTACCTAGGACAGAGAGCTCATTCCTGGTCCTTCTCAAGAGTGGAGTTCCTCCCCCAGTGTGGAGGAGGTGAGGACAAATGCCAGACAATGGGGGCTCAACCTGAGGGGCACGTGCAAGCTCTGCACGGTGTCCTAGGTCATAGACAGTAAGAACGCGTGTGCGCCATGAGTGGAGAACACCATTTGCATTGGCAACTTACCTACCCACTCAGGATTTACACTGCTTAAATTTGGGCAAGGGAATCTTTATTGACTTCCTTTTTTATGTATCCAATCTGTCTATATATCTAACTTCCCTGGGTCTAAGCAGGTGAAAAAAATTTATGGCTTTTGCAATTGGAGATTCCTATTTATAATACTAACTAAGATACATTAAAAAATAAAAATCTAGGAATTATATTTTTTGAAAATTAGGACAACTGGGGACATGTGAACAATGACGGTGTATTTGATATTAAGGAACTATTACTTTGGGGTATATGATAATGGTACTATGGGTATACTTTTTTGTTTTTAAGAGTACTTATCTTTTAATGATACATACTGAAATATTTGTAAATGAAATTATAGTCTTGCCTCCAAAATTTCCAAAGTTTGTATGAGGGTGGGTGGGGGGCACAGTGGTTACAGCATATATACAACAAGATGGCCACAACTGGTAATTGTTGAAATGGGTGAGGGGTACATGGAAACCCGGCTCACTCAAAGTACTCTATACTTCAGCATATTTTTTAACCTTATCATAATGGAAAGCTTAAAGTATCTTTGAAGCTGATAATAGCATTCATGCACAAGAAACGTGAAAGAAAGGTTACCTGCTACTACCTCCAAAAGACAGTTACCCAAGTTTATCATCCTGACTAGTAAAAAGAAGAATGGAAATTCAGGAGAATTGGTTCAAGCAGCAAGCATTAAGCTAGAATTTAATCAGACAAGAACCAAGCAAAGTAAGATAATTCCTAGCTGATAAAATGATCAGTCTCTGTAAGCCTGTTGCTTCATCCAAAGTCTGAGTCCCTGATTTCCTATTGACTTCAGCTACTTTGAATTTTTTTTTAAAAAAAAAAAAAGGCTTTTCAAGAGCATTCTGGAAAATCTGCATGGACTGTGGTTAGTATAGAGCTGAATGAATTTTATCCACAGTGTTTATTATCCAAGCAGTTTAGCAGGATTGGCCACAAGGAGGAAAATGGAGCATGATGACAAATCAAAAACAGTGGAAAATCATTAGAAAGAGGACTACTGAAAGTACAGTGGTGGGGAGCACATATGCTACTATATGTATACTTCAAATTGGAGCTTGCAGTCTCCCTGCATAATTCTAAATCTGAATAACATCCACTAAAGCACTCGCCAACCCTGGTCAAACAAAGCTGCCATATTGGCCTGTGGCCCAGTCTAGGTGAGGCCAGCAGGATCTCCTGGGCCACAGGGAGGAAGTGTCCTTTACCTGTGATGATGTCTTCAATGGCACCATCTTTTCCCTCATATACATGTCTGTTATCTTTAACTTGTCGTCGTCTTAACTCTGCAATTAACTCCTGCTGCTGCCTCTTTGATTTATGAGAAGGAGACTGAGAAGAAAGAAGAAGGGCAGAGATGAGGGGAGCCAGCACCCATTTGGAGTTTAAGAAAATATAAAATGTACCTGAGCTTTATGTACTTTAATAAGTAGCCTTAGTCAAAAATACATAATATCATCCCACCATTCTGTTCAATGCAGAAAAACTCAGGAAGCTTTAGGGAAAAACACAGAAACTGTCATCCAGAATACACAAGGCCCCACCAGGCAGCATGGGAAGGCGGGATTCTGCGGCCAAAGAAGAAGTTGGAAAAATTCACGGGGAGAAGTCTTCAGCTTTGGAGCAGAGGCTGCTGGCCTCTATGACCTTTACCTGTGATTCTGCCCTGCATGCAGGCATCCTCCCAATTATAGCAAAGGTCTAGCAATTGAGGTTGCAATCTGGGGTATCACCATGAAGCCCTCCAGTCTCTGGGTTACCTAGCTTGGCCTCTCTGTACACCCAGCTAAGATTTAAATCCAGATCTCTACAAACTTGGCAATGCTACCCAAGCATGCTCTAACCCTCGTTCCAATGGTTGCTAAACAAAGTGATCAGTGAACATTTCCACACGCCAAACCCCAGAAGGAAGCGACCAGGCTCCTGTGTGAATCAGCTTGTTCCCCCCTCTACCACTTGCCTCACCTGGAGCCCAGCTCAGAGATTCCTACCTTTGGGTCCTGCTGCTCCATCAGAGCTTCTTGCTCCAGCAGTTTTTCCATGAGAGCTTGTTCCTGCTTTTTCCTCAGTTCATTTTCATCTTCTGCTTGCTGGGCAAGTAAAAAAAAAAAAAAAAAAAAAATCACATCAATGAAAATGATAAAAGTCAATCTTCCAGAATCCTTAGAGTCAGAAATTGTAGCAAATGGAAGGAGAAGATCTGCACTTCACGAGACAATTCACTGATTCTGGGTTTCACTATCCAGCAATCAAATGCCCTTAAAATCAGTAGCTGATATTCATGTCATTCAGCAGTTTATTCCGATGATCCTCTCCCTGCTCAAAAGGCTTCTGAGCCAGAGCCCCACAGACCTGTTGGAACCCACCCTCTTGGCATCTGGGCTCAAATGCCAGCAATGGTCTTGGAGCATCTCACCTACCCCAGCACCCAACAGCTTCTGCTTGCTGAGGACCAGGCCTGACTCGAAGGAGAACTGAATCACTGTGGACTGAGGGGCCTAGAGCTATCGGCCTCCACAGGACTGTAGAGCCATCTCTACACTGACCACCCAGATCTGCTACCAGAGCCATTTCTACACTGACCACCCAGATCTGGTACCCAAAGGAAGCAGGAGACCTCTAGAAGGCAGCTGGGACTCACACCCGTCTGAAAGAGGGCACCTGGGTAAGAAAGAATGATGAGGAGGGCTTATAGGACACCCTCCTCCTGTTTACCTTATAGGCTTTCACAAACCGGACGAAGACGGGAAAGAAGACGGATGGTGGTGTTGTCTTGGGGTTTTCTCCAAAATACTTCACCACGTCATCAAAGGCGTCCTATGAAGAAGCAGATTTCTCTTGAATCTTGTTAGTTCCAACATTTGAAGTAGGTGCTTTGAGGTAAAAGAAACTGAAGAAAGCAGCAGCTGCAGCCACAGCTCCACAGCTCATTGCCCCTGCTGGCTCCCTCACTCCCACTGTTCTCCCAGCCTCCATGTCTCCTCTGACAGTTAGTCGAAGACAACCAGAACTGTGTAGCAGCAGGATGTAGGACTCATCTCTGAGACATGCAGACACTTCTACACCCCACTCCCCCACACACAGAAGGAAGGGCTTAAAAACATATAAAGTCAGAACCCCTTAAAAACAGTAAGGTCAGAGGGATCTTGGAAGTCTGACTCAGGCCCGCTTCAGCACTCCTACCCAGCCCCACACTGGGGACACGCCACCTCTGTTTGAACTCTTCTGCAATGCAAGACAGTTACAAACTGGAGGCCATTCCACTGTCACAGCTTTCCAAGTTCCCCTAGCACTTCGCTTCCCCTTTGATGATGTGCAGCTCACTATGTTTTGTAGGATTGCCTAGATTTCACTGCCACCCATGTGGTCTCACATTTTGAGGTGAAGATCTACAGAAACCTGATACACCAGGGACACTGCTTAGCAGAGCATAGCTCATGTTCACACACACATTGCTTGAACCAGATACAGAACCTGTGCTGGATGGAATCTAGGAGAGAAAGGGGAAGGGGGCTTTACATAAGAAGGTGAAGACCCCAAATTAGACAAGCACAATGAGTAGGGCAAGGATATGTCAGGAATAACCTAGGAAAGATACCCCTCTAATAATTATTAGCTACATAAGAAGTCTACCCTCTGCAGGCAGAGAAATGGAGCATTTCTCCCTGAACCCAGGACCACTGCCACAAGTGGCCCAAGGGGGTCCAGCACTTGGACTACCTGTGCAATCTTGGCATCATCCTGCAGCTTCTTCAGCTTCGCCTCATTGTGGAAAATGAACTCCTTCAGTAGTGTGTTGTGGTCGTGCATGGTGTACTCCCTCTTGGTCAACTCCATGCCCCTCTGCAGCTCCTTCACATCTAGCAGAACATTCTCCAGGGAGACTAACAGAGAAAGCAAGGTTTCAATGAACCTCCACCAGGAGGGTCAAAACCACTGCACGTCCGCCTGCTCAACCAAGTTCTCAGTAGGGATCTCAGGGATCTTACTGGGGCCCTTGGATCTAGTTCCCAGTTTTTTGCACAAAGATCCTTTAATATGAATAATTGAGAAAGCACTATCGAGTACTATAATAAATTCCTTCCATGCATTGATTCAGTTGCAACATAGGCCCATTTTGCCAATAAGAAAGCAGCAAAAAAAGATCTGTGGTAGACCCTGAGTCACACAGCTACTAGATGGCAGAGAAGGAGCTCAGGTAGCAACCATGGACTCCAAAATAACTACTCCATTTCTCTCCTAGGAAACAGCCTACTGGTTGGCCTGAAGGCTTAGAGATCCTTGTCTGGGACAGGCCCAAACATCTTTTCTTCTCTATCTCTTTTGCATTTCTATAGTTCTCCAGAAGGGGGCAGCATTTTGTCTTGAAGGTCAGTTAACTGATCACTAGGACCCAAAGCAACCTTGGACAGTTTTTATTTGTTTGTTTTTATTAAAGAATCCATTCTTGCTTCAGAAAGTTTTAGCTTTAATTTTTCCATCTGCAATAAAGCTACTGTCCAGAGCGGACACACTCCTGGAACCTCCTAAGTCAGCTTCCCCATGGAGGTTGGTCCCACCTCTGGTTTCCCCATTGCCTGACTCTGCTCTGCACATAGATGAATACATAATGCAGGCTGTTTCCCTCACACTAGACTCACACTGGTTTGTCTTTGAGTACCTAATACTGCTGACAGCACCAAATATACAAAAGGTCCTCAAGTGTGTACTGGATAAATGAAGGATGAAGATATAAAGGAAGATATAAAGAATGTGTGTCAGCCCACCTGGGCACCAGAGAACAAACAGGACAGTTTAACCACTGGTTTTCTTTCTTTCTCTTTTTTTTTTTTTTTTTTTTTTCCGAATGACACTTTTGGGGCTAAACAAAGTATGCTAATAATTAGTAGGTAGGAATTTGTTACTTAACTTTTTTCTTAATTGGAATTAAGATGTTTAAGAACCCAAACTTAGACAAAGGAAAACTTGAAAGAAGGGAAACCTCTCCAGCAGAATATAAATTCTGCTACCTGCCTTGATGGATCTGTCCCAGCCTGTTCTTCATAATCAAAAAATCATTTCCATCTGCCTCTCAGCTTCCACTAGGGCTTCTGAAGCATCTATCCTGGCAGCCATGTACCATTTCATTCAACATTTGCCCATTTATTTATTCCCACCATCCAATCTGCCAGGGGCTGACTGAATTATAAAGATCAATGAAGCCTGATTACACCCCTAAGAACTTGAGGTTGCAATGGACATACAAACTGTTATAAAATTTGATAAATCTTGAACAAGAGGGTAGTACAGAATGCTCACAGAAATGAAAGCCATTTAGCCTGTCTAGGGGCATCATAAAAGGCCTTGCCCTAATAGTTTGAGTGTAGGAAACTTTTTGGAGTAGACCTCAGGAAGGTTGAAGATGACAAGTTGAAAACTGCCATCAGTAATTAATTCCAAGGTCAACTTGCATATCACTCTTTTTTCAAACATGATACTCTTTTGAGATGACATGACATACTCTCTTGAGAGAACATCATACTAATATAATATGGTATATTATATTCCTCATAATATACTATATAAGGAATAGAAAGACAGGTTCCAGTCTGTTGCTATCACTTTCTATCCATGTGATTGAAATAAGAAAATGTTAACCCATAACAAAGGAGCAACTAGAAAGTACTGCTAATTTAGTGTTCAGGCAAAGGCAAAAGGTTTAAAAGTGCCACATCTGATCAAGTGGAATGGCTTGAAATAAATTAAAAGTGGGGTTTTATTGGTTTGTTTTTGGTTTGGGTTTTTTTTTGTTTGTTTGTTTTTGTTTTTTTGGTGGGGGGGCAGATTCTCAGATTCTCACTCTTATACAATAACAAAAGAACAAAATGAGCAAGACATGCACAAGGGAAGGTACACAGGCCTCCAAGACCTGGATCTTTACTGACAGGATGCTGAGAAAGGTCACATTTCACAATGGCTCTGGGGAGTGAGTAGCACCATCCCCAGAGTGTTTGGCAGCTCAGAGCTTCTGACTTCTTAGCCCTGCCTTTTTAAATGGGTCCTGAAGTGTCTATTTAGGAATGGTTCCTCCATAATTAAAGGCATTCAATACCTAAGAGTAACATTGACAGCTGAAATTAGTACCTGCAGCAGCTTTTTCCACATAATGAAGCTCATTATAGAATAGAGACACTTGGTGATATTTTTCTTTTACAACATTCGATATATAGTGCAACAGCGTTTGCTTTCGGTCTGTTGACTTTGTGTCTAAGAGCTGAAAACAAAAGGGGGCATGGGTTAGGTGCAAGAGCAAGGATGGTGGGAGGGCCACCCACCAGGTAACTTCCCATCCAGAGAAAGTAACTGAGCACAATTGCCCAACAGGCTGGAAAAAATTATTCCCAGAGGACATTCAAGATTCAATGTATTCTTTATTGAACCACGCCACTGGTATTTAAATGACTTGAAGACATCCTCACCAGGGTACCTATTCAACATTAGGGTTTTACCCAATATCCATGAATCCCCCACCCAGCATCTACTATCCCTCCTCTCCTGGCTTAAAAGTGAGAGGATTTCAGTTGAGTGGCAGGTAGGGCCAGTGCAGGTGTACAGGGGCTTTGATGCTGCAACCTTGATACTCTGCTCAGTTCCTCTTACTCCCTAGCTTCTGGTGGCCTAAGACAGAGAAAGCCAGGCCACTGTATCTATTTTTCTTGTTGTCATTCCTTAGACAATACAATATAATAACTATTTACAGAGCATTTTCATGGTTATGTATTATAAATTATCTAGAGGTAATTTAGAGTATAGTGGGGGACATTCTAAGATTATGTGCAAATCCTACCACATTATATAGAAAGGACTCAACTATCTAGGGATTATGGTAACCACAGGAGTCCTAGAAAAAATTCTCCACAGATATTGAGGGACAACTCTATGTGATGCTAACCATGGTCTTCTGAAGGCCAGGATTGTGATTGGACGCTTCCAGTCAGATAACCACATCTCTGCCAGCCATGGAGTCTGCCCATTGCCCTCCCTTGTCACATGGAAGCTACATAGGCCTGCACAGCCTGGACAAGGTTCCAGGGAGAATGTTCTCTAATACTATTCATATAAATCATGTGACTGAAAGAAGGAGATCATCTTCACAGATGAAGGACAAAAAAAAAATTTTTTTTGTTTCTAGAAAATAGAAAGATTTAAAAAGTTGTAAAACATTTCCTAATTCCATCCAATCTCTGTTAATATTTTAATCCATTTTCATTCAGTCTTTTATATTATGTATTTACGTAGCTGGAATTAAACTGTACCTCAATTTATACTCTGCTTTGTTTCCTATACACAAAATTATCTTTTTTCTCTGAAAATTCTTCACAAGGATTCTCACAGCTGGAGAATAGTTTATTATACTATTTTTCCAGCATTTAGTCATTACCCACAATACTGGACACTTTATTTATTGCTAACTATTTGCAATTAAAAATAAAATACAGCATTCATAATCCAGACTCCTGAGGGAAGATTCCTAGAAATGGAAATACTGAGTAAAAGAGTATATGTATTTCTAAGGTTTTAAGTCCTTCTTGCCAAATGGTGTTCCAGAAAATCTATACCAACAGACCCTCACATTAGCAGAGAATATTCATCAAATCCTCCCACCCACTCCCAACAGCAGACCCCCTGCTCCTGGACAATCTCTGCCAGCTGTCTGTCCTTCACACAGCCCTCACATTTCTTCCAGTTTACTCACCAAATCTAAACTCTGAAGTTTAAATCCGTAAACTGCTCCTCGTTTACTGCTATTCATATAATTTCCAAGGGCCAGGATGATCTGCAAAAGAAAAAGAAAATCGAAGCCAATCATGACAGCTTCTCAGGCCCCAGAAGGAAGCTGACCAGTCAGCTCTCTAAAGATGTATACAAGAAAACTTCACTTGCCTCCAGAATTTTCTTGAGTTTTTGCGATGACTTTATAGAGACAGATGCTGCTATAATTGCATGCAGTTGCTAGATTCCAATCAAAGGAAGGAAGTGGGAGAGAAAAGACATGTTAAAAATGGGAAATTAATTGGAAACTAAAAACTAGCATAGGAAAAAAAAAAAAAAACAGGCCTGCATTTTGACCTTGAAGTCTTAATGATTAGATTCTATTTTTCCTAAGCATAACAAATTAAGTTGTCCAGCTAGATCCTAGGTAACCATATCATCACATGCAAGCTCTTTTCTAAAACTATTCATAGTAATAATATAGACACTGTTTAATCACCAACTTTGTAACCAGTCTACAACCAATAAGACTGGTTAACAGGAGTCAACAGCCTCTTCTGGCAAAACTTAATTCCCTGCCTGCCATCTTTAATCATATACAATTTTTGCTTTTAAATCAATGAAGCTGCCCAAGAATGGGAGATGCGGGTTATATAATACTTTCCAGAAGTTCTCCTAACAGTTTTGAACAGACCTGCTACTATAAGTGCTAACTAACAAAAGTTTATTTAGAAACTGGGAACAAACTGAAGTTAATTTTTTTTTTCCCAAACTGAAGTTTATGACATTCTTGTCTCAACCAGATTAACGCAGGGAATGAGAAAGAACTGGCTATTATTTGCACATCACCACAGACTACTGTTACAAAGGAAGAAAACTCCTATGGCAAATGTAATGCTCTGATAAAAGCTTATAAGCCTGCTCACTAAAGATACGGGATTTTTTTTTTTTTTAAAGAAACACCAACACAGCCAAAGGACTATTATCTTAAGGAGGCAACCAAGTTTGAGAAAATCATTTTCCTTTTCCTCTGCAGTGTCTTCTAAAATTCAGAAGACATCTACAGACACAGAAAATGGCACTGACTTGGGAGAACAGCAACACAGAAGATGGAACTTCACCATTTTTCAATGTACTTTGCATACATATGTAAAAAAGATGGCAAAAATAAAATATCAATCTAGTAAGTTCTTTAGAGCCTGTTACATTGAGTGCAATTGCAGAAGAGATGCTTAAAAAAAAAAAGGAAAAGAAAAAAACAAACACTCTCTTTGCCCTCCAAACTAGCCTACTCACAGGAGTCAACATCTGAATGCTTTCAGCAAAGTTCCCAATGAAGGCCATGATGGTCATCTTCTGTAGGAGCCTCTCGATCTTACTGAACTGCATCATGAAACGGTCTTCATCCGACAAGTTCTCCAGGGGCTTCCTTTCCCGTTCATAGAGCCGAAGCACTTTTACCTCATTCTCAGTTGGCAAGAACCTCATCAAACACTCTACAAAGTCTACAGGCAGTGTTTTCAAGTCAAATCTGAAAAGAACATGGACAGGTCAATGTTAGAGAGAAAAAACCTACTCTTTCCTCTATACCTCTATCCAGTCCAGCTCATCCACTACCAACTCAGTAAGCCTCAGACGCCCAAAGTTGCACTGTGATCCCTACCTTGGCACTGGCTCCTAGGCATCGGGTACCCTAATGGTCCTTTCTGAAAATCTGCACTGTGTCATAGCTGCCATCCTCAGATTTTAGAGCTGTTTGCTTAGAACCCTGGAGTGGCTCTAAGCCTCAGGAAGTCAAGAGCAAATGACAATAGAAGAAGGTAGAATCAAGACCAAAGCATGGTTAAGTGGTTCAAGGACATGGTTTTTCAACATAGAGAAGTACCACAAATTAAAGAGGTTAACACTATACATATATTTACAGAACATCTGGTGAGTTCTATAAAATATTCAAACTAAGCCAATGGTCTAGGGTTACACTTTTCTTTGGTGCAAAACCGTGCATACAAATGTCTATACTATATGGATGTTTTTGGTGTCCACAGGAGTCCTGGAACCTATCCTCCATAGGTACTGAGGGACAACTATGTATGGAACTGACCATTATCTTCTGAGGACCAGAATACACACCTTGAAGGACATGTATTCCTTGAAGGAATGCCACATCTTTGTATATATATGCTCAATTTGAGCAAATGAAATATTTTATTTCATAGACAATCTTTTCTTGGCTTTTTGTTTTGTTTTTCCTTTCTCAGTACTAGGGACTGAATCCAGGCCATGTACATCTAACACAAAGCTGTATCCCCAGTCCTTTTTATGTTGATAAAAATAAAAACATCTGGATTGTGGCATCATTTATTGTCTTAGTCTGCTCTCTTATATAGACCTACAGCAGTAGGAAATTGTTAAATTTCCACAACTGGCTTTGAACTTGCAATCCTTCTGTCTCAGCTTTCTGAGTAGCTGGGATTACAGGTGTGTGCCACCAAGCCTAATTCTGGACATTCATTGTTCAGCAACATAATTACATTTAAATCATTTGTGACAAACAAGGTATATCAAGAAAAACTTACTATTTACATGTACAAATATGTCACAATAAACACATTATTCTGTATAATTAAAATGAACTAATAAAAAAAAGACACAGACTACATAACAGGTTTCAAATCAAAACAGACTGTTAAAGGCACTCTGGCAAAAACAAAATCAGAGCAAATGATCTATTAGGATCATGTGCTCCTATAATAGTTTCTAATCAAAATGTATACAGTACCAATTTGTGAAGAATTATTTCCTAAAACATTTAATAATATCCTTACACAGCCACAAGAAGAGTAGAAAGATTCTTCCAGTAGAGAAATAAACAAAATAAATGCCTTTTATACAGCTCAAAATTAAAAACAAACAAACAAACAAAAAATGTCCTGAAAATACTAAGAGCAACAGAATTCACATTCCTATTGTTAGGAATTAAAATATGCATCTGTATCATATTTGCATCTGGCATTGAACTACATCATTCCACAAATGCCATCAAATTTATATTCAACAAATATGGATAAAATCCAGATACTCCAGAGAAAACTGACATTTCTCCCTCCTCTTAACATCTGCAACACTCAGCCCAACTTTCCTTTTATGTAAGTAAGCACTGCTGTAGGCCTATATAAGAGAGCAGACCAAGACGATAAATGATGCCACAATCCAGATGTTATTCTTCTAAAACAATTAATTACTCCTTCAAACACAGCATTTCCTCAGGGAACTTCTGGTCCACCTCTCGAGTGTTGGCATCTTACTCAGCTCTGCAGTAGGACATGTAATAAGCAGAATCTTCTAAGTGTGGACATCAAAAATGGCTCCATTGTCTTAGTTCTTGCTCCACTACTGAAATATCTCTGTCGCTACTAATTCATAACTATCTTATTTTCATTTTTATTCTAAACTTACTAAGATATAATTTTCCAGAATGCTCCAAACTTACACATGAATTGCTTTACATATCTCATCGGCAGTCTTTCCAGCTTTCCTTAAAGTTATGGCAAGGTTTTTGGCCCTATTTGCTTCTAGTAATGTCACTTTGTTTGATCCCTTCTGTGTTATCTTCTGCTTGCTTGAAGAAAGATCAATGGCAGGACCTTGTGCCTTTGTCTTGAATATTTCCTCAAATTCATCTACATTTAAATCCTGGGATACAGAAGGATAACATTGGAAAACTGGATTATACTTAAAAATTAATTCATTCAACCACCATTTAGACAATTAGTTAAGCAAAGACCTTATTTTCTTATTAATTACTTGTCCTTGGCCATGGCTACCTGTTATGTTTTGGATATGAGGTATCCCCCAAAAGCTCACGTGTGAGACAATGCAGAAGGTTCAGAGGAGAAATGATTGGGTTGTAGGAGTCTTAACCCAATCAATGATTTAATCCCCTGATAGGGATTAATTGAGTGGTAACTGAAGTGGTGGGGTGTGGCTAGAGGAGGTGGGAATTGGGCCATGGCTTTGGGTATATATATTTGTATCTGGCCGGTTGAGACTTCTCTCTCTGCTTTCTGATCATCATGTGAGCTGCTTCCCTCTGCTACACTCTCCTGCAATGATGTTCAGTCTCACCTGGAACCCCGAGGAATGGAGTCAGCCTTCTATGGACTAGGACCTCTGAAACCGTGAGCCCTAAAATAAACCTTTCCTCCTAAAATTGTTCTGGTCAGATCGGTTTAGTCATAAGAGCAAAAAAGCTAACTAAAATACTATCTCTATTTTTCTGGGTTTTTTAGAGAGCAACTTCTAACACAGAGATAAAAGTGATGTCCAAAATACACTACTAATTCCGACGAGCCGATTCAATTGCTTTAAATAATGAGCTAGCATAGACAGCTGTCACAGACTAAAACTAGTCATCAAACCAGGCAGTAAGTGTGAGAATTGAGTCCTTAATCTATCTAGTTCAATAAAGGATGTTTATGCCCTTTTATAAATTAATAGATGGGACAGTGACATACAAATTTTGTGGCATATACTGAAACTACTCAAAACTACTCACTGCATTTTTATTGCATTTTAACTTAATTTTATAAATCTAGTATTAGAACTGCTTTATAAAATAGTATCCAATGCTATTCTTTGATAGTACTAAAGTATCTGCTTCTTTTGTACAATTGCTCTTTTATAATTATGGTATTAGGACAATCTTAAGACAAAAAACAACATACTTTAGTAGCAAAACCTGCAGATTAACAGAGCACCCATTTTAGCTTTGTTCTACAGAGAGCACCCCTCTAGCTTCTAACCAATGAGAAAAAATACCTCCAGAATTCGCTCATCATCAATTTCATTGAAGACTGTGCCATTGATCTGATTGGGCTTCAGAGCAACCCAGTTAAACACCGGCATTCTGAACTTTGTCTTGATTGGTTTCTTAATTTTCACAGCTAAAGATGTCAAAGAGAATGAAATTAAGATCCAAGACTCCGTAATCCTCAGAAATGATTAGACAACAGTCTCTACAGATGACACTTTAACACTGGAGGAAGGTTAGCAAGAGGCACCCAAAAATTTTGTTTCTTGTTACGAACCCAGAGCCTTGTGCGATACAGGCAAGAGCTCCACCATTAAGCTGCAACAACAGCCTTTTAAAAAAATTATTATTACTTTATTATTTTGAGATAAGATTCCTGCTACATTTTCTGGACTGGCCTCAAATTTGTGATTTTTTTCCTTCCTCAGTTTCTCGAATAACTGGTATTATGTGTATGTGCCACCTTTCCCAGTCCACATGTTTTTAAATGTGGAAAAGATTACATATAGCCTTGGCCAGAGCCATTCAAAAACTCATTTGGTTGAATGTCTTAAAAGCTGTCTTTAGGACCAAGATTTGGGGTTTTGTTTATTTTTATTCAGGAAACTGGATTGCTCCTTTATAGTTATGGTATTAGGACAATCTTAAGACAAAATGCTAGAGAAAGCAAAAATTATTATTGTTATTAGACAGCAGAGAGGACAAATCGTGTCGAGTTCTGACATCCTAAATTCTTACTTCTAGAATACATATTTATAAATAAACCTTAAAGGATGATCAGAGACTGTCTAAACCACCAGGAACATGACACACCAAGAAAGCTAACTTTCAGCCAGGGGGATACATTCCTATGGGTGACTTCAGTAATAGATTATACTGGCTGCTGAGTTATTTCCAAAAGATAAGGGACCATGAATGGCCTAAATCAGAAAATGTCTAAGAAGACAGAAGGGGTACTTAGAAAACACAAAATTGTGTTGCTGCTCACAGATGGCCACAGCACCTTCTCCCTCTTTTTAATAAGCAAGTTCTCACTAGGAGTCAGCTATATTTTACTAGGTGTCATCAATGAAGTCTCTTAGTTGAGAGGATGGGATTCTCTTTCAGGGACCTAAGGGAAGTGCCAACTCTACTCACTTTAAGGAATGAGCTTAAAAAAAAAAAAAAAGTAATCCATTCAAAATGCTATTTTAATTCTATATCATAAGGAAGTCTTCCTATACTACTTATATACATTCTGTGCACCACTCTGTAGCCCAAGGAACTATTTGTGAGTTTCACTCTTTGCCATTATTAGCAAGGGAGGGAAGGAGAACTTGCACCTCAATGCAGAAAAAAAGCCAAACACACCCAAGTGTTTACTGGATGTCTACCTGTCTGCCTCAGTTGATGTTTACTGAAAAAGGGAGATTGATAGTGCCTCTCATTCCTCCAGAGTTATGAAGGCCATAGGAAGAGCAGGAATTCATCTGATAAATGCACACAGAAGCATGCAAGAACACAGAGACACAGCTTCTGCCAACCAGGACTTTCCACCAAACATGGCACCCTCACCCCCAGGTGTGTCAGAGTCCTCCTTACACTTCACTTGTGTCCACACTACCCATGAAAACTGGATCCTCTGTGGGACAAAGGAATATACCCTACTCTAGGCCGCCACTTTAGCAATGTGGGCAGAAGGAGACCACTGGGGGGTGGGGGGAGATGTGGGGAGGAGCAGTAGGGACTCCTTTCAAAGGGAGGTGACAGGCTGGTGCCATTGCTTTCTACCTTTCCTCCACAGATACTACAGGCTTAGGCCATTCACTACCTGTTATTCTATTTGCAGTCTCCCTTCTTGTGACTCTTTAGCCAGATAAAGAACATGCCCAAGATCAGAACACAGGCAAGAAAGCTCTGGGGCAAGTTTTCTGACTTTGGGGATGGAGTTGGGGAAGAGCAGGAGGGTATACAGGTGACCATGATATACACTGCATCCCCAGGGTACAGACCAAAGAAAGTGGCTCTGAATGGATGGATGTTCCACCAAGTGAGCCATGGGACGAGTGAGAGGGCACTGGAAAGGGGCACCCAGTAGCTTCTACTTATTCTCCATGTTTCCTTAGAATAAATCTAAAATCCTTTTAGAGTCTGTATTGGACCCAACTATGACAATTAAACAAAAAGAAAAGAACATTCCTTTTCTTGGAGGAAAAGAAATGTGGCATATGAATCCAGGATTCCTGCCTACAGGACAATCATGTCTTCTACAGGTTCAACTGAAATGTGTGGGCAGACCTGGAGTAACAGTCAGCCAACACCCAGACTTCCCGCAGATGCAATGTCAAAATGCAATGGGTCAAAGTAAGATGGAGTGGAAAGATGTCAAGGCACAGTGCGACCAACAGGAACACATGGCAGATACTCAACACACTCGGTGAGGAGCAACCTACAGAAAAGCTTGATTGGCCCATCTTTTGTGGAAGCAGAGAGAATAGAGAAAATAAAAAAAAAAAAATTAGATATGGTTAGAGTCAAGTGGCTCAGTGGTTCACGCACTCTTAGCATAGAATTTCATGCTTCTTGGACACACTTCACAAGGCAGCGTGGAGCCAAAAATTCATTTCCATTCAGGACTGCCTTGAAGATGTATTATTTTGTTTTGTGTTTTTTCTTTTTTTAGTCATTTTAAGAGGAGGGAAAGAAAATGTTTATTTCATTGTAGTGGTCCCAAACAGCCATACTGAACTATGTTAGGTATTTCATAGGATTTGAACAATTTAATAAAAAATAAACATCCAAGGTCCAACTGCTCATTGAGAGGATCTAAGCACATCTTTCCAAAGACAACAAAGGTCACAGGCTGCCCAGCAGTCCATCACAGGTGACCTACCCCAGGAAAGGGAGCAAGATTGTTCCATCATAGTCTTGAGGAAGTAAGCCTTATACTTTAAATGCCTATTTCACAATACTAATATCTTCTTTATAAAAGAAAGAAAACTCTAGAGATAAACTATGTGAACTTCCTCCTGGTCCCATGTTGTGACAACCAAGAATATAGTATGCATTTAAGAGATAAAGAGATTCTGTCACTTGTGGATCTAGAGGTTCAATGACATCACAGGTCTCTGACTTCATGGGAGCCCTGGGCATATCAGCTCAGCTCTGTCACTAGTTCTCTTGGGACACTCTGAATTTGTCTGGCCTCTTGGTTCCAGAGACAGAGCTACTGAACACACTGGTAAAACATCTCACAAGACTGGCTTTAATCACTACCGAAAACCAAACTAAAAATGAATAGTAAAGAGATTAAAGGCTTTGCAGAAAATGCCCAATCTCAAGCTATCAAAGACTCATAAGATCTTGTAATCCTTACATCTTGTAAGACAGAATGTCTCTTATAATCACTGAACAATGGTATGGAACTAAAAAGGAATTACTTCAATCTCACTTATAGTCTTCTAAAGGGCATAAGATACAATGGGACAACTTCCAACTGTGGTAAACCTGAAGGCAGCATCTGGTTTTCAGCTGAGCACAGAGATCTACACCTTAAACTTGAAGTAATCAAAAGAACAAACTAATTTTTAAAATGAAGTGGTGCAAAGTACCCGGGGGGGGGGGGGGGAAGGAAATTAAAAAAAAATAACAATAACCAGGCAGGACATGCTTCTTCAGAAGGAAGCCCCAGACCTACACACTTTAGCCTCTGGCTATCACCTGCCAAGGCAGATCTGAATTCTGTGTTAGGGCTCAGGTGAATGGAAGTGGATGCTGAATCACACATTAGCTTTTGCCAGGGAGAAAGAAGCAGTTCCAAATGAAACATCACGGCAGACACATCACACAGTGAGTGCTCCTCAGGGACTATAAGGAAAACTAATCAGGGAGCCCAGGTGCACGGGACAATTAGGGGTTTCCACACTTGATCACTGAGAACAGCCTGGTGATGGAATGGATTCCCAAGGCTTGTTATGAGGTTTGTTTATTTACATTCCACAATCCAACAGTTCCACGAAGACATTCCTCCAACTTTTCTCTTCAGAAGCAATAAAAGGTCTAGAAGAAAGTGGTAGATGGGAGGAACTTGAAGGGTAGAAATAAACCACCAATATACTATGAACATTACTCTAAATGGCAATTTGTTTGTGTGCTAGGCAGTTTAATAGAAGTCTAGATGGAAGTAACATCATGGATCTGAGGTAGAACGAATGTGGTAAGAGCAGCTTTCAGGTGTCTACAAGGGCTCCAGTCACTAAAGCCAATTAGCCCTACTAACTGGCTGGTAAAGCTGCTGATGGCACCCTTGAAGGGATAGAGAATAGGACATCTTTATAGCCAAGACTATCTTTCAGACCTCAGGCAAAAGTCTCTGAAAACTACTGCAGCCTCAGAAGTGGAGGCTGACAGAGCAGTTGTTCACAGCAAATAGGAGAATTCATAAACAGACTAGAGTGAATGAGGAAACAGTTACCCAACAACAAAGGATGGCAACCTCAGAGCAGTCCTGAATGTCTGGGAGACTGCTTGTAGCATTATAGACAGAACAGAAATTCATTTCCAAGAGTCAAAAATAAAAACTTATATCAAATAATTAAAGTAATGCCCTCCTCTCACTGGCCAGCCCCTGGTTATTTCTGGTGAGCCAGGTGCTACACTCCATCTCCTAGTTAGCAGGATAGCAAGAGTTATTATGAAGAAGCCTTTCAAGGCACTGTTGTTGGCAGCACTTCCCCTTGAAGTTTAATCTGCTTCTGCAAATTCTGATCTCCTTAAATGCTCAGAAGACATGCGTGGAAGCCTGTGTCAGGCAATTACACATAAAGGCATTTTTCCATTTTATATATGACATTTCAAATTTCTTAAAAATGAAAAAGAACCAGAAACACTTAAACTCTTTGCTTTAACCACTACAAATGTTTAAGAAGTGTTTGCTGAACTCGCAAAAATGCACTGGTCCTTATGAAGGCAAGTTGTCTCTCTTCTTTAAGTTGAAGGTGGGAAGATGAGGTGAGAGATCAGAACCTCCTGCTAAGGAAGAGTGTGATAAAGGCCACACAAAGGCCAATGCTGCCCATGTATGACTAATTTCAGCTACACTACCAGAAATGTTCTTTTACTAAGAGAACGTCCATGTCATTGCAAAAGACCTATCTTCGAAAGAAAGGCTTTAACTCTCTGGAGGTGGGCAAATGAGCACTTCTTACATGAATACCCTGGTTTTAATTATGTGCTCTTACCTGCTAATCCTGAGTTGAAAACCACTGTGGGTGAAGATGTTCCAGGCAGCGGGGGTGCAGAGGGAGGAGGGGGTGGTGGCAGAGGAGGAGCTGGCACAGTCTCTGCTGCAGGACCAGGGAGAGGAGGAGGTGGGGGCGGGGGAGGAGGAGGAGGTGGGGGAGGTGGAGGCGGAGGAGGCGGAGGCATAGGTGGTGTTACTGGGCCATTTTGCACTAGAAGAAAAGAAACCAATTGACTTTGAAAACAAAAATGGTCTTCCTGCAACATGTTGTGCATAGAGACAATATAAAAACAGTTAAAATGATAAAGGTTTGCTTTCCAAAACCATAAACTTCCTTATCAACAAATGGGGAAATACTTGAATATAAGTGAAATGAAGATTTATAACCTTAATCTCAAAACAAATAGTTCTTAAAATCAGTGAAACAATGTGCCAACAAACGCAAAGGACAAAAATGGACAACTAGTAAAAGAAGAAACACAGATAACCTGATTGTATAAACTTAGTTCTCCCACATGGCTTCTTACCTGCTTCAGGTGTGTCTGATGATAGAGGTAGTGGCGGGGGAGGAGGAGGCAAGGGTCCCGAGGAGGCAGCCCCTGAAACTGGTCCCACAAAGTTACCCGGTGCTGCATCTGACCCCATGGACATTGTGCCAGAAGCCACAACTGGCAATATAGCAATATCCCCATCCCCTTTCTTCTGAATTTTAATGGTCCCTTGTTTCTCCAGTTCATGAATCTTTTTTTCCAGGGTAGACTGTCTTTGAATGGCTTCTTCTTTTTCTTTAACCATTTTTCTTAATGTGTGAACTTGGGTATTTGCATCTTTGTAAATTTCCTGCAAAAGAGTTCATGGCTAAGAGTTTGTCTCCGCATGACATTCACATTTATGACCATCAGATTGGCATATTGAGGATAAAGGAATTAACTAAAAAGAGAGAAAAAAGGACACTGAATATGAATAAAAGTTCTATGAAATTCAGCCAGAACTTATATGGTCCCACTAATTATGAATTATACTACTGGTACATGCAATATACTCCAGCAACTGTTATTGCTAATTAAGTTCTTTCCATTTAATGAATCCTGCTAACTCAATTTTCCCTGCAGGGGGAAAGGAAGAGAGCAGAGATGACTTTTATTCCCAAAAGCTGACTTTGAAATGTCCCGAGATATTCTGCTGATGTGGCATGTTTTCCTTTCACTAATTTTCAAATCCATCTGTAACTCTGAGGTACGCATATCAGCTAATCATAAACAAAGGGCCCTAAATCAGACTTGGATAGAAGTCAGACTAGGATTAAAAATCCGCAAAGCATAGACTAATCTATTCATGAGTAACCAGGGGCTGACTGTTCTTGAATGGGTTTCTCTGGCCCTCATAATGCCCCCTTGACCAATCTCAGGACAGCAATTGTTGTAACGTTTTCCTTTTGGTAATGCAGTTAACAAAACAGGCCTGAGCTTCCCTCCACTAATTACTTATTTCTGTGTAGGTTTTTACCAGAAAACAAAGAAGTTACAATTTTCAATTCAAAGGCTGCCCTGGTTTCTTTTATTAGGGGCCCATAGAAGTTCCAGTGAAAGGAGTTTTATGGAATTGAACTTACTTGCTGGGCCTTGCACATGTGCTCTCTCACCACAAACCTCCAGCAGGCAGGGAAACATTCTTCACACCCTGTCTATTATTAATAATCTAAGAGTCTGAACTTTGAATTGAGTCCATATGCTACAACTTTGTCTCGATGGTGTGCCAGAAAATAAATTTCCAGAGTTAACTAAAGGACATGTCAGAATATCAGGCAACACACACAGACATGATAACCATCACATAAAATGTGCTGCTGCATTAAACAGTGGTGTAAGGGCAAGCCATTTGCCCAAACCCCCTCCAGGCATGTTGGTGCTTTTATGTTCTGCACAATCCCAAGCACATGGATGGCACTCCATAAATACCTGACAAGTAAGGTAAAACAATGCTACAGCCAAATCAAATAACTGGGATTATCTGATAATAAAATGAATTGGCTTTGCTTTTTCCTTTTTTTCTTGGTGAATGTCACCAGGTCTAGCCTGTGCTGTGATTCACGGTTTCCACAGCAACCACCAAACCCAGTTCTGAGTAGAAGCAAAGTAAAGGAATACAATGAAGTCCAAGTCCTAATAAAAATAAATAAGTGGCATGAATTAAATCCATGCCATGTTTTTATTTCCTTCTAAATGGGTGAGCCTCAGAATCAACTCATCCTCCTCCAAATGGGAAAACTGTTGCTCCCAAAATCTGTGATAAGGAAATCCTGAACCTCCAGTATATGAGTGCATGCACATGTGTACACAGACTCTGACTACGTGTACTTTCCATTGAAGGATCACCTCCGAAATGGCCCGAATAAACATGCTGCATCAATGCTTTCCTCTGAAATGAACGTGCCCCACATTCAACCAGCCCAAAGCTGGACCACATCTACCATCACTCCACCTGGGGGACTGTCATTGTTACACTTACTCGCACAACATCCAGTTCCTTGTTCCTCTGCATGAGCTGCTTTTCCAGTTCCACAATCTTAGACATGGCTTCATTTTCTGTGTCTTGCAGTTTCTCAGATAACTGTAAAATGTTGAAAAGGAAACTGTGTCACGACACAGGATCATTTAGACCAGGTCCTTAGACCTCAGAAAGTGTAGCTCTAAGACCTTTAGGGGCCCTTTAGAGTCCTGCATGTGTTATACAAATTGTTTAATGGAAATGTTAGTATTTATAATATGGTTCTGGAAATATTTTTGTTTCTCCCAAGAATCATTTATACATGATCTTTAATAAAAACCTCAGTGTTTAAATATCCAATGTGTCTCCCTCCCATCCTTTGGAGCTAGCAAGGGTTGAGAACAGTAAGGTGAGGGAGGAGGGTCATCCCCATCCCCAAGAAAGAGATGTCAGGTAAAAGCTTTTGAATATTGTTGATGTAGTTTGAAAAAAAAAAAAGCACTACAGATTGTTTGAACACAAATTATTCAACTAATAAAAGCTATTTGGAGGAGCCATTCAAATAAAGATGGCCTGCTACAAAGTAGACTCTATGGTCATACTAGCTGAGGCTGAATAAGAGATGGTGGGGGGCAGTGGGGGAGAAAGAACATGCACTATTTACTTAAAAGGAGCTTTCTGCACACAGCTGTATGATTAAGCAACTTTTGATTTCTTACATCTTACTAAAAATGATCAGTAAGTAAAGGAAATCATAGAGAAAATGTAAAGAGGAAGAGTGAGATTTACACTAATCAGGCTCAGAACAAAATACAAATCTCTTAAGGGGAGAGATACTGGGCTTTTAAACTGTTTGGTAAACGCTAACTAGCTCACTGTAGTATTTACAAAAGGAGAGTTGGGGGCTCAGCACAAGCCAGGTAGATGCCCATTTTCAAAGTAATGGTAAAAGGCAAAGGAAATGACACACACCCAGTACTTAAAAATAAAATATGGGGAGAAATATGTGGGTTGTTCAAAGGGCAAAATAATATTCCCCCAATTGGGGACAATTCACTTCACAACAAAGAAAAGTGGTAATCAATTCAGGCCAAAAATTTGGTTCAAAATTCTTGGGTTTCTCTGTTTGTTCTTGTACTCTCTGAAATATTTGTTTAATGAACAAATAAACAACCTCTGAAGACTGTTAAGACTCTTATTCTACTTGGTCTGTGGTAGGAGGATCACAAGTTCGAGGCCTGCCCCAGCAACTTAGTGAGAGCCTGTCTCAAAATCAAAAGATCTGGGGATGTAGCTGAGAGGTGAAGTGTCCCTAGTCAATCCCCCGTCCTACACACAAACAGAAGATCAGATCACTACCCCAATATAGAGATGACACTGTTCTGAGAGGATAGTCTTCCTTAACGAAGATGATATTTGGGAGAGCTCACTGATTTCCTTAAAAAGGTCTACTGCTAAAATGAAACTATTAAGTGATTAAGACAGGAATATTTAGATAAGCATCAAAAGACACTATTTAATTATCTCTATGGGACTGTGTGGACATTTTGAGAAGAAGGTGGCTAATCTTCAAAAAATACTTATTCATCTCATGCCAAATTCCCATATTTCATTCCCCTCTAATCCCTTAGGTAATGCCAGTGATTCAATCCTCCTGTGCCTGTAACTGATTGTCAGGACAAGCAATTTATTTTGCAGTCCTGAGAGGTAGGTCAGCTGAGGCAAAGAAAGGGGTTCCATTTTGCTTTCAGTAACACATCTGCCTTCTTTGAAAGAGCCCAGAATGGTTTATGATAATTCTCTAACCCAGTCACAGCTCATTTCTAGACTCTGATTCTTTTAAGTTACTGCCACAAAAGTGTATGTTAGTTCTACTTTGCACCCAGAGGGAATGCCAGCAATTTTCCCTTTTCTGAGATGTAGTTACATGAGAGATGTTTTCTTCCAGTTCTTCCACCCTCTCCAAGGCTGCATTCTTGGTTTCTGCATCTTCCAGCAGAGCTCCTACGTCAAACACATTGTCCAGGTAAGCCTGAATCTGTACTTGCAGCTTGTCACTCTCTGTGTGTTTCAGCTTCTAAAAATCAGAATTTAAGAGGTGACATTAGCTTATCTTTAGAAACAGAACATACTTACCCAACAGTCTACAAGGTTTGTTTCTTCCCAAAGTCCAGCCTTTTCCAAAAGGTTTAAGACATCATCCTCCTTAAGACAATGATGAAGTGACTATTTAAGAAGGTAGGATCAGATTGGTTTCTTACCCATCAAATATTTACATAACTATGTAAATATTTAATGTGCACACATGTAAATATAAATATATAAAATATACATATTTACATGTGTGTATTTACATACACGATTTCCCCCCCAATACTTCCTACCCCATGTAGTTATACTCCAATCTAAAACAATTTGATATATGTGAAATCAAGAAAACAGAAGAACTAAAAGTAGCTTTGAGAGGGAACGGTCAGAAGCAACATAAAACTTAAAGGGGTGTTGGGGTAGTAGAGGAGATTGTAGTAGGTGCACCTTGCCTGGATAGTGATGGTGGACCCAGGTGGGACACAGTTATACAGGAGGTGACTTGGGCATTAACCTTGGGTTTATTTATTTTTTAATTTAAGTTGTAGATGGACACAATACCTTTATTTTATTCATTTTTATGTGGTGCTGAGGATCAAACTCAGTGCTTCATCAGGCAAGTGCTCTGCCACTGAGCCACAATCCTAGCCCAAATCTTGGGTTTATTTTAGTGCAAATTTCTAGAGCTCACTCTTCATGAATGCTTCCCTAAGGCAGTGCCCCACATCAACAGCTCAAGGCTTCCAAAGCACAGATCAGAAAGCTTTCCCCAGTTCACTGTATCCCTGATCAGGGATCCTGAAGGAATTCAGATACTACAAAGATAAACTTGCCTCAGAGAAGGCCAAAAAAATCAATGAATCTTCTCTACAAGAAACATTAGTTATGAATTTTCCTGAGGATAAATGAGTGGCTTGAATAATATCTGGCACATGGATAATGCCAATAGCATTTTTGAACAAATCAAAGTCTACATGCAAAGCTGCTTCTGTAAACTAATATGGTATTTATATGTTATGTATTCATCATATTACTTTTCTAACTACCTCTATCTATTAGAGTGCAGAACCAATATACTTACAAAGTTCAAGAAATAGAATTCTGATAAAATTTAAAAATTTTAAGAGGAATTCCACTTCATGTAAATTCTTGGAAAAATGGGTTTTCTGCTAGGTTCTAACCTACAATTTAGCTTATTTTGAAAGAGGGTATGTTCCACCACAGTTCAAAACAAAGGCCAGAACAGAATATGATGAAAATGGTGAAGAAATTTCTTGTGATTTTTCACAAGATTCACAATGAATAATAGGTATTCACTGATAGGTCACCAACCTGCCATTACACATTGGAGTATAAAGCAAGATATCACAAAGCCAAACCCAGAAAACTATTAGGAATTTATGTGCCCAATTTTTGTTCAAATACTGTTGCTCTGAACATATGAGGAAAGAGGACAGATAAACTTCAACATCAATACATAAAAAATTCCTTTAAATACAATATTCCAAAAATGGCATCGGTGGGTCTTTAAATTATAGGAAAATAATTCCAACATGTCTTTAATGGAAATCCATTGTGTCTCTCCCTGAGTAGAGACTTTAGACATTAGGACAGTCTACTCCAGGGTAGCTTGGTTGCTCTGGTGAGCAAGGCCCCTCAGGTCAAGTGTAACCATCTCTGTGATTTTTCCCTCCCAGTGCTGTGAAAAGACAGTACTTGAAATCTCAACTTCATCCCTCATGAAGATGGATAGCTAAATATCATAGTTGTCCAAGGGAAGAGCTCCTATCATCTCTATAGCTAGAAACAGCCTTGAAATTGAGGTCAGCAATTCCTGCCCAATCTTCCAAATTCAACTGGACCATTCCTATATGGAAAGAAAAATAAAACTGTCTAGGAGTCAAAGGACATGCTTCGCATGCATAGATTCTCAAGTCCATTTATGATTTGAACATCAACTTTCAGTTTCTTAACTGAAGAACTTCAGGGAACTAGCTGAGCACTTCTGCAAGGAAACCTGGAAAAGAGAAATTAAACACCCCTCTCCCAAAACCCAAAAGTGGAACTTCTAAAGCCACAAACCCTTCAAGCAAAAATTAACAGTTTCAGGAGGAAGTTTCTAGTCTTCATTTCCTCATTATTTATCCTCCGAGCATTTCTCTTCACTCTACAGCAGTCTTGGTTTGATTTTCCCTGCCTAGATGAGGCCCTCAGAGTAACCAAGAACTCAAACTGTGCAGCAGTTGGGTGAGTGATGCAATGAGACTTGACCCAGACTTGAGCTCACAAACACAGGCAAGCTGCAGCCGGACTGCAAGAGGTCATCTGGCTCCTGTACTAAAAGGCTGCTGGCAAAAGACTGCCAGAGGTCCCAGAAGGTCTACAAGAATCCAGTTTCTCTGGCAGATTGCATCATTTGGATTGGTTCCTTTTAACTACACGACAGTAGTTGACTATGCAGAGCTTTAAGCATTCCTTAGCCACTATGGAAGTGCACCGAGGGTAAGCAATAAATCAATTCTTACACTGAAGCCAAAGGTTATAGCTTTACTCACATCCAAATACTCATCCAGGCCTAATTTGGTGAATTCATATTGGAGGTGAACTCTGAAGTTCATATCTTCTACTGAATGAACTACAATATTAATAAACTGCATCGAGGCCACCTGAAATGAAATTGCCAAGGGATTAGACAGATGTTAAACTTTTTTCTCATTGAATCATAGGCATATGCTTTTAATACACAAATTAGGCTCACTTACCAAGTCCTTCATTTCACTGGGTCTTTAATAACATTTTACAATGTTTTTAATTTAAAAAGTCATAGAGTTACCACAATAAGATACTACTTCATAGCCACTAGGATGACTGATAATAAAAAGAAATATAGTAAGAAGTGTTGGCAAGGATGTTGAGAAACATGAAACCCTCATTCCTTGCTAGTGGGAACATAAAATGACGTAGTCACTTTGAAAGTGAGACAGCTCCTCAAAATGTTAAAGTTACCATGTGACTTATGTAGCGAAAAGAAACATATACACATAAAAATTTGTACACAAAAGTTCATAGCAGTATTATTTATAACCACATGAAAGAACCCAATGTCCACCAACTGATGGATAAACAAAACGTGGTTTATCTACACAATGGAATATTGTGCAAAAATAAAAAGGAATGAAATGGCTGATACATGTTATGGCATGGACAAACTTGAACATATCATAGTAAGTGAAAAGAACCAATCAAAAACAACCACAGAAGAGTTGGGGATATAGCTCAGTGGCAAGGTGCTTGCCTAGCATGCATGAGGTCCAGGGTTCAATCCCCAGCACAACACACACACACACACACACACACATTTTATGATTCCATTTATTTAAAATACCCAGAACAGGCTAAACTATAGAAATAGAAAACAGATTGGCGATTGCGTAAGGGTGGGGGTAAAATAAATAGAAAGTTGCTGTTAACAGGCACAGAGATTCTTTGGGGGGTGGGGGGTGACAGAATGTTCTAAATTGTGGTGATGGTTAAAAAACCTACTATACACTTTCAATGGTAATGTGGAAGTTATGATAATCATATTTCAGTGAACCTGTTCTTAAAAAGTCATATAGGTACACACCGCAAATCAAGTAAATTAGTACAGGTATATATATATAGCATAAAAATATGAAAACTATTGCAAACAACAACATTTAAATCACCTATAACCCTCACTACAAGGTAATTTTTTCTAAACATTTTCTCTGTACTCCAGCCTACCAAGAGAACAGGAACAGAGCTTTGGCCCATCTTTCCATGCAATCACCCTGTTTCTATTCCATGAAAGCTTTGATTTGGTGCTTTCTCCTCACGATTGCAGCAGTGGCCCTAAGATCTGTCCCAGAGAAAACTAGTTTCCAATCTAATAAATAATAAAACCGAATTCAACAGATCTATTTTGCTCTTGATAGTGACAGTCTTTTATGGTGGAAATATCTTGCTCAGGCTTTCCCTCAAAGGCAATGACCCAGCAGAAGCTCCAGGAGGAAGGTAAAATGACTGAGGGACTCAGGTTCATAATCACCAACCTCTTCCCCAAGACCAATTCCCCCTAGCTATTTTTTTTGTAGTTGTTGATAGACATTTATTTGTTTGTTTGTTTGTTTGTTTATATGCAGTGCTGAGAATCAAACTTAGTGCCTCATACATGCCAGGCAAGTGTGCTATCTATCAGTAAGCCCCAGCCCCAGCCCCTACCCTTAGCTTTTTAAAAATTGTTTTTACTGAGTTAGAGTCCTCTTGGAATGTTATATACTGGATATCTTCGGAAGATGTATAAACTCTCTAAGTTACAAGGGGACTCTACTACAATTAACCAAAAAGTATTTCAAGGTCTACGGTTAAATGAACTTAAAAAATCATTTTGACTGTTTTTCGTTTTCTTTTCTCCACAAAAACACAGAAAAGGGTCTTAAACTACATATAAAAAAAAAGTTACATGTTATGAGGAATATGTTGTTTGGGAGATTGGGCAATGTAACTGCATTCCCAATTTATCAAAAACCTCATTTTCTGGAGGGAAAATGTGGTTGAATTCTAGCATCTTCCCATTTCTCTTCTGAAACATAGATCTAAATGATCTGCTGACTTTATAATAAACCTAAAAGACGACTATTTTTATATGACATAGAATCCAGCAATAATAGTACTTGGGGTTTGTTTGGGGGAATTTTCTTTGTTTGTTTTTATAGTAAGAATTGGAACCCAGGGACATTAACCACTGAGCAACATCCCCAGTTCTTTTTACTATTATTACTTTTTTTTTTTTTTTTTTTTTTGCGCGACAGGGTCCTGCTAAATTGCTGAGGCTGGCCTTGAACTTGTGATCCTCCTGCTTCAGACTCCCAAGTCACTGGGATTACAGGTATGCACCAGTGCCCAGCAATGCCCAGGAGTTGAATTCTTGCAGCCTGACAAGAAGGTACCTTGCATGTGTGCATATGAGTAAGTGAACTGACAGGAACTGGCTCCAATCTGTAATACAACGGTATATGTGTTTTATTGTTGTTGTTGTTATAGTTGACAAAAGAGTGTATTTTGACATATTATACATACATGGAGTATAACTTCCCATTCTTGTGGTTGTACATGATGTGAAGTTACACTGCTTGTATATTCATATATGAACATAGGAAGTTATGTCTGATTCTATTGTCTTTCCTATTCCCATCCACTGTCCCTTCCTTTTATTCCCCTTTGTCTAATCCAATGAACTTCTATTCTCCCAGTCTCTTTACTGTGTGCTACCATCCGCATAACTGGGAGAGCATGTGGCCTGTGGTTTTGGGGTACTGGCTTATTTCCCTTAGCATAATAGTCTCTAGTTCCATCCATTTATGAGCAAATATCATAATTTCATTCTTCTTTATGAATAAGAAAAAAGTATTCCATTGGGTATATATGCCACATTTTCTCTATCCATTCATCTGTTGAAGGTCACCTAGGCTGGAATGTTATATACTGGACATCTTTGGAAGATATATAAACTCTCTAAGTTTTTAGAATTGAGCTACTATAAACATTGATGTAGCTAGGTATAGATGTTTTAATGGGCTTATAATTTCAGCAAACTCAAATGACAGGGTTAGCAGTTATCATAAATAAGTAAGATGGGTCATATGTAATACAATAATGGACAGTGAAGATTGTGAAAAATTGGAGATAATATCTTTACAGAAATGGGGGCCTAATGTTATTAGACATTTTTAATAAAAATAAAAAATCAAAATCTAACATTATGTTCACCAAGCCTGTAGCATGGTTTCAGTCTGGGGCCTCCAGTTTGCAACCTCAGCTCTAATCAAACAAGAAAGTTCCTCCTTACAAGGAACAGAAAAGAAGCTGGTAATGTAAACCAAGGCCAGACCTCTTTACATATTCATTACCAGTGCCAGCATTCGCCTGAACTTCTCCAGAAAATCCTAACAAGAATATTGCTGGGAGCCATTAGCCAAGTAGGTATGACAATTTCCTTGCCAGCGTACCCCATGTTGCAGTGACATTGAATGTAGGTGACCTTGCTCAAGGACCAAGGCGGATTAGGGCGTTCCCGGTTTAGGTTCCAGGTTTAAGGTTTAAGATTATTCCTGCTGGGAATAGGGCGTATCCTGCTGCCTGAGTTCCCCTTGAGTTCTCACGGGATTCAGACAGTATATTTTGGAGATAGAAGCCCAGTGGAGGTGGATTTGGGCAGAGAACGTGGATTTCCCCAGAACGTGATTGTAGACGGCTGGTGTGAGTTCGGGAATAAAGAGTTGCTGTTTGAATCTACAAGCTGTGTGGTGGCTCGTGATTGTGTGCCCAGCCAGACTGCGGCAAATATAAAAGTATGCATTGTTTCACATACATGTTTTTTCATTTTCCAAAAGCAAATAACATGCTTTATGGAAAAGAACAGTTTCTCTATAAAAGATTTCATCTTTCTCACTGATTTTGGAAGGAGATGAAGGCTAAGGATGCATATAAAATTTGAGGTCCCAGAAAAAAGAAAATTCACATAAAAGGGTTAGAAATCTGAAAACCTCTGTTTTACACTTTATAGTCACTAAAGCAATTCAAAATAAAACTTTACATGACATCCTAAGTATAGGCTTTGCAATGTAAGAACTGTTTGGGATAATTGCTCCAGGTTAGATTAAACTCAGTTAAGGATCTCCTGGGTCCAGAAGATCGCTAGAGCAAGTGGATTGGGTCAAAGGCTACAGCGGTGTATAATGTGTCAGGAAATTCTCTATGGTAAATCCCATCTCAGTCCAGAAATAAGATTTGGGCATATGGATTCAGAAGTGCTTAAATGTATTTTGCTGTGCTCACCTGAGAACAATAGCACTGCTATGAAACCAAATGTCCTGCATGTGATTTAGCCTGCTAAGAAGATGTACAGTATGATTATGCCATCACAGAGTTACTAAAGGAGGAAAGAGATTGAAGGAGGGGGAAATCACTGCTGAAGAGTCAATTCTACAAAGCAAAGTGCATAGTTTTTGAGAATACAGTCTGGAGAAGGGCAACTGACTGGAGTCTGCAAGAGTCAAAAACATCAAGATTCCTTACACCCTACAAATATTATGTAGTACCATTGGTAGTTCAAGTTGGCAATTGTAAGCATTTGAACCAGGTCTCAATTTCCTTTTCCCCAGTTGTGTGGTTTCCCCCTTTATTTGCCATACATAATCAGCACTCTTGGTGTTTACTGAATGTGTTTGAAATGAATAAAACTGTAAACAAATACCACAAAGAGAAAATACAGATGAAGAGAAACATTCTAGAAAGGATCTATAGCATATTAAACTCAATTTTCTGTCTGTCCTGTATAACACATGTGTATGTATATGTATGAATATACTTAGGGAAAAAGTGCTGAAATTGAGTTTGCTTTATTGAACGTAGTATTAAATAACTCACCATAAAATCTATGTTATTGTCTTCATTCCTGAAATGTTCCATCAACTTCTCGAAGCGCTGTTTTTCTCCACAAACCTGAAACATACATTTTTGTTGCCATGTCACATTCCAAACACAAGCATTCCAAAATTAGATATGGAAATTTCAGCATTAATAATTACTTCCAGAATATCTTTGTTTTTCCTCTTCCTCTCTCACACTGTTTCTCTCTGAAGTTAGTTAATTCACAAATAGCCACCGGAAATAGGACTAAAAGCTGATCCTTGATTTCTTTTACATATTCTCTTGATATTTTAAAATTAATATCAAATATGCTCTTAACTCATTGTTGTTTTTGCACACCCAACAATATTTTAAAATGCATTGAGAATCCAAGATCATAACTCATGGCAAAAAAAAAGTGTGTGTGTATGTGTGTATGAATCACAATAGCTTTCCTTTTACCAAATTACTTTTAAGGCAGACATACTAAAAGATTCAAATAATTTTTAAATTCCTTGAAAGCAACTCAAAATTTTCATGTCTAACTGTATCAAATAATTTTAGTGCATAAATCACAACACAAGAGTAAAGCAGACAATTTGGAAAGCTATATTAACCCACATAAGGTGAATATAGAAATTTGTGGAAATTCGTGAAGTAGTAATTCAGCCCCAAGGCCTGAAACATAAGCATTTAGCTCAAATTAATGCTTTCATTGAACAGGTGAAATAAACAGATAAAATAGTGGGAACCCCAGGGCTCCAAGGTATTTTCACATACATGGAAATAAATATTTAAATACATCAAGCTAAAACACAATGTCAAAGGAAGACTTTATTAAATACTAGTCCCAAAATAAAAAGATGACTTGCAATTCTGTCACTGTCCTTGGCTACCTTTTAAGTAGCAAAGTTCTACACCTACTGCTTTATACATTCTACCTCCAAAAAAATATTTACCTGAACTATGAACCACATGCTGAATTAGTAGAACACAGTCCCCAAGTTAGCATTTTGCAAATTAAATGTAGATTTCACAAGCTAAGCTCTAAATTTTGATTCCATTTATGATCTTAGATATAGCCAGCAAGGCTAGTCCTGAGGAATTATTCTAAAATAGTATTTCATAATGCTACAATGCAGTCATTTAATTCAGTCATGTTAAATTCCATGTGAATATACATATGTACTGATGAAGAGAAAGTTCCATGAAGGCAGGACTTTTGTCTGTTTTATTTACTACTATATCTTCAATATTCAGATCAATGCTTAGCACATTGTAAGTACTCAATTATTTGTGAATTGCCCTGAATAGAAGATAAACAAGTAATTGGGTTAATACTTCAAAAAAAAGGTGACTTATTTACTACTAATCTCTATCATGTTTTAGAGTAAAGAGAGAACCATTGAACCACTATAGACAGGTGTCAAAAGTACATCTGTAGGGCTGGGGCTATAGCTCAGTGGTGGAGCACTTGCCTAGCATGTGTGAGGCACTGGGTTTGATCCTCAGTACCACATAAAAATAAAAAAATAAAATAAAATAAATAAAGGCATTCTGTCCACTACAGATGTACTTAAAAAAAAATTTTTTTTAAGTACATCTGTAATGATAGTTCCTAGGCCTAAACCCAACCCTGGGAATGAGAAGGAAACAGCCTCTAACCTGTGAGGGTCTTCTAGTCTTAAAGACCAAATTCTTCCAACAGAATAAGACCACAGTTTTACAAAATTCTGTTGATGACTCTCCATTTATTTATATCTGCCTTAATTAAAAATAGTTTCAAGAGGCAGAGGAACATTACATGAGCCCAGACAGGAGGAAGAAGAGTTGGTTTGGAAGGGAGAATTGACAGCCTTTGAAAAAATCTGCTTGTCCAGTTCCACTCTGAAGAGTCTGATTCAATAGTTTTGAGTGGGGGTAGGGTGACATGGACATGCACGATTTAAAAACACTATTACTTGTTTTGATGCTCCATGAAGGCCAAGGACCAGAAACCTAAGGGGACATCATGTTCTGCCCCTGCACTCAGCCAAACCCTCAAGCAAATATGTGGCAAATTCCTGGAAACAAAACATTTTATTGAATATAGTGAAGCACTCTAGGCCCTGCTCTCTATTCTGACATCAGTTACATCTATATCCAAAAGGACAAGCATCCTCGCCTGCAAAGAGGGTCCAGTGGTTGAAAATTGCCAAGGGTTGGCAGAGAAAGGGTCAGAATCACAACCACAACTTTATTTTAGCACACTCCCCAACATAAGAACTTGAGGAGAATGACTGGCTTCAAGATGATAACGGCAAGAAAAAGAAAAGGAAGAAAGGCCCTCTTGGATCTGGGGACAGACACCAGCTCTTCTAAGAAGTAGACCATGATTAATGTTCTGTTGAGCAAATAGGCAGGCATTCACTCCTTTAGAAAAGGTAAGAGCCACCCAGTGAACAATGACAACAGACACAATTGCTAGTAGAGCAAAGCCCTTCAAATCAAAGAATGTTAGGAAGCTGAAAAGTGTCTTGAATAATCTGATGCCTTTGTTTTATGAATAAAACTAAGTCTCAGACAGATTAAATATCCCTAACCTGATGGATGGTCAACAGAGTGGCAAAACCAAGACGAGAATCAGTCTCCAATGTCCACTTAATGATCCCACTCCCACATAGCCCAGAATGCTCGGATCAACATAGTCCATTACAGAGGATAGTTATACCCTTCCAGAATTATCTAAGAGACCAGGAAAAAAAAAAAAAAGTAAATTTAAAAATCACAACCCTTGCATCACACACATAATACTTGACATATGTGCACCAGAATTTTCCACAAATATCTAAATACAGCAGACTCCAGGGGTCCAAGCTGAGAGGTATTGAATGAGAATCTGCACAGATGGGATTAGGAACTCAGGCTTTTAAAAAGAAATCATGGTTTCTGGACAAACATTTAGGAACTAGTGACTTATACAATATTAGACTGACTCAGCCATTTTGACTACCAACTACAAGACCAGTTGAAAAATAGCTAGATAATTACCTTTCCAGTTTATTCAATTTCCAACTGATCAACACAAAAGAAACACACACTGCTACATCTGGGTATCACAGGAGTGCAGCACTATGCAGCCACCTGGTCCCATTTCTGCCCTCATAGCCCCTCACCTCCATCTGTGTTGGAGGTTAAAGCTGCAAAGAAGGACAGTTGTAATAGGAAGGACCCACAGGGGTAGGCAGGACAGGAATTAGTACACTGACCCTGAACAGGTATAATTACTAACAGGATAACTCATAAATAATCAAGGATTGCATCCAAGGTATTAGAGTAAATAAATTTTAAATAACAGGGGAAAGTGCATGTGGGCAGTAACAAAACAAACTAAACATAGCCAGTTAATAAAAAGAGATGACGTCAAATCAAGTATAAGCAACACCAGATTAATTTCATGATGGGTAAATATTTCCAAAATGATACTGGCTTGGTAGGCAGGACTGAAATAGACATTAAGAAGAGTTCCCACTCCATGTATTTCTTTACAAATCCCTCATTCTGTCAACAGACAAATTCATGCTGAGAACATGTGTGTCATGAAACAGAGAAATAGTTTTCATCTTCAAAAGGAAGAGATTTATATTTCTCTTTATAGTTACTATAAACTTAGTGAAAAATAATTCAAATACACAAAAGGACAGATTGCCAAGATAAGAATCCTTGGAAGAATCTGAGTGACTGCTCTCCTCCCTCAATGTACAAACCAGAACGACCCCTCCTATCAGATCCACCAAGCCTCTCTATGCAAAGGATAACTAACACTGCTTCATTTCTATTCCCAGATAATGGTCAGTCCTATTTTCTGACATTGCTCCCTAGGAACAATCTGGGTTTCAGAGGCCCCCTTCATTTCTAAGGAAAGGAAGCATGCTAACCAGATTCACATTTGTTTCTATGGCTCTAACAATCATTAAACAAGTGTAGAATACAACCCCACAGGAAATGGGAAGATATGTTTGGGGAAGTTGGTAAAAGTTGTGTCCCACATCAAAGGAAAGTTGTCTTCATTCATACTGCTCACATCTGGACCACCCCACATGCTTGGTTAAAATGGAACCACCATGGTTGAACGAACATACCCATTCTCTCCTTTGAACTGGCCTTGTTTTAGAAAATTGGTGGGAATGAAGACACTCATTTTCAGAATCTACACATGGGCCTTCATGAGAATATTCTCAAGGGCTTCATCAAAATGAAATCAAAATGAAGCCAGGAGCACATTTGCACATACTTTACTGCACTTTACGTATTACTACATGTAGCTTCCATCTGCGAACAAAGGCTCAACAATATAGGAGGAGAAAACTGAAATAAAATTGTCAGATTTCTACAGCTGAAATTTGTCATTCTTGACTTTTAAATTCTCTGTATCTCTCATGACCCTATCAGCTCTACCATCAATTTCCTATGCCCATAACAAGAGCCACTGGAGTAGGTGGGGTGGAGAGCTAGTTTAAGAGCTACAGTGACACCCAGCAGAGCCAAGCAGACTAGAAAGGAGCCCCTTTTTTGGATTGCACACCTCTTTCAGAACTTAGTTTTCCAATAGTAACACATTTAGTAACACATTTTCCAATAGTAACACATTCCAATAGTAACAGGTAGGCCTACCAGAACTTCAGTAAACCAGCAGGCAAATAAAAGTCCATGCACTGGAAAAGCATGTGTGCAACTGTAAACTAAGAGGCAGCTTCATTGCAAATCATTTATGTACCAGTTTCTTGTGAATAAATTGACCAACCTGGAGTAACACTGTGTAGAATGGAAATGTGTAGGCTCCGGTCCTTCCCATCCCCAGAACAACTGCCCCTTTAAGCTCTAACGCTATTGGTGTGAAGGGTGAGGACAGCAGATTGGGACTATGTGGCATATTATATGGGATCATAAAACTCAGATTTCAAGTCAAAGTTCTGCGACTCTTCTGCTGTTAACTTGGACCACTCTGTGAACATCTCTGGACTTCATTTTCATATAGGCTGAGACATGGTAATTCTAAGTTGCCCACTGGCCTCAAATTTAAAACCCTCCTGCTTCAGCCTCCCAAGTAGCTG